AAATGCCCTGCATGGAGGTCGGGGTTGAAGAGAGGTAGAGGGAAAGTGGGAAAAGGTTAAGAGAAGTAGCCCGGAGCCAGGTCATGTAGGGACTGGGAGGTCATAGTAAGGACTTTGGATTTCCTTGAAAGTGGGATGGGTGGCCGGGCGCGGTGGCTCACGCCTGTAATCCCAGCACTTTGGGAGGCCGAGGCAGGTGGATCACAAGGTCAGGAGGTCAAGACCAGCCTGGCCAAGATGGTGAAACTCCGTCTCTACTAAAATACGAAAAAATTAGCTGGGCATGGTGGCGGGAGCCTGTAATCCCAGCTACTCAGGAGGCTGAGGCAGAGAATTGCTTGAACCCAGGAGGCAGAGGTTGCAGTGAGCTGAGATCGTGCCACTGCACTCCTGCCTGGGCAACAGAGCCAGAGCAAGACTCCGTCTCAAAAAAAAAAAAAAGGTGGGATGGGAAGCCATGTGCCCACATAAGTGGAACAGATTGTTTATTATGCAATCATGTCATCATTTTAAATTCTGAGTTATGGCATTGCAGGAACTTAAGAAATGAACAGGGTGTTATTCCGGCCCCCATGGAGTCTATAATCCAGTAATGTGGAATTCAGGAAAAATTAAACAGATTATACCTTCTGTCACTTTAAGTGATGTGTTTTATGGTCCTGGGTTATCAAGAGTAAGAAAAATCGCTATGGCAATTTGTGTAAAACAAAAAATTATAATTGTCAGATAAAGTAATACTTAATTTTATTAATTTGATTCTAAAACATGGGTTAATTCCATCACAAATAGTCAGTATCGTAAACTGGTAAGGATAAATGCAGAGTACTTTTGCTGCTTTTCCTCATTTTCTCACGAGTGACAGGCATTGCTGGTCAATTACACCACCCTTCTCCTCTTATGGTCATTTTCAGAGTCCTCTTCAACCCAGGAATCTAAGCAGCATCTAGCCATCAGCTAGAGTTCAGTGCATGGGCACATTTATAGACATATTTACTATCTGGGGAAGTAACTGGAGACGGGGGCTAAATTGACCACTTTCAAGCAGTTGTTATGCCACTGCATCTATGAATCTGTTATTTCAACAGAAATCAATCAATTCAGTGAAAATGTGCAGCCAATTGTTTGGTGTTGGATGTAGAAAAGTAGTTCATTTTCTTTTGTCCCTCTGTAGATAAAAAGAGAAGTAGATGAAATGTGAAGAAAAGAAGATAGAAGAAATTTTTTGAGAGGCAATTTTAGCATTCCAGAAGTTGGCTTTAAAAGCTCACTAATATTCCAAGTAGAATATTCCGAGCTGAACGCAAAATTGTATCTTGATTATATAACCTTCAGTGATGAAAGCATGGTCTCTTCTAGAAATTAGATTTGTTGTTGTTTTTATTGTTCAGTGTTCTATCTTGAGCTATGGCAATACATACACTACATAAATTAATATATTTAATATATTCACTCCTTCATAATCAGGATAAATATATTCAGCTACATAGATGACTAATTTATTCATCGTTGCTCAAAATAGACTTTCAGGTCATTAGGTGTCATACAGCTAAGAAGAAAGGGAAATTAATTGGAGAAAGCACTATTTAAAGGAAATCCTGCAGAGCCTGAGGCAGGTGCTCAGTAATTGGAGAAATGGTCAGGATTAACCCATCATTATCTGTCTTTATTTTTCAGTAATAAGGGCCTTCATTTTTCAATCAATAGTAGTGCCCAAATTTTTAATTAGTTTCAGAGTTGAATTTATAAAGAAAATATTTCCTTAAAGTTTGGTAGCTTAAACTATTACTTTACAATCCATTACTTAAAGGAGCATTAAACTATTATTTTACCATTTACTACTAATAACCAAAAGCTTGTCCTTGAAAGTATCTATTTGAATATAAAACTATATTTAACGCAAATGATAAACTACACAGGTGTACTCTGTATCCTAGGGAGTCTGTAAGAGTCTTACAGAACGTTCCCACCATAAGGACCTTGTCTTATCTCTTGTCTTATGCCCTGGTTTTGTTTGTGTAGCTGACCTGTTGGATGCAGTGACAGGTGGGGAGTTAAATAAAATCAATGTCCTGAACTGTTGTGTTCTAAATTTTTCTTGGAAGTATAAGAAAATTGCTCCCTTCCAGAGCCTACCTTGTCCAATTATTGTTCTAAAAAGGAATTTTTAGCATAAAATATTAGAATTATAATCTACATGGTGAGTTGTTGATTCCTGTTTCATTTTCTAATTTGTAAGTAGGAACACCAAAGTGGCAAAGTTTGCCAGCTGATTATTTCCTGCTTCCTGTCTCTTTTAAAGATAAAGCCAGTGGGGTGTGTGTGTGTGTGTGTGTGTGTGTGTGTGTGTGTGATTATAGGAAGAGGGTACTAACCTAAGTAACTTTAGAAATAAGTGGAGTCTGTAAGACTCAAGGTCGAAGAAACAATTTGTAAGCCTTGTAATCTAGTTGATAGAGGTGTTTCCCACTGGATAATACATTGATAATTCTGATACTACCACACATGTGTACTGGAATTGGACAGTTAAGTAAACAGGTGACAGGTGGTGGGCACCAACTTCTTTTTCACTGTTGGAGTGGAAGGTTTCTAGATATAGGTGGAGGAGGTTGCAATGATCTGTGGTATAATGGATAAGAGTTGGGGACATGAGTATGAACTCATATTTAGCTCAATATAGGTACAGATGGTTACATATAGAAATACCTATAGATATGTGTATATGCACAGATTACTATGCACAAATATATTTCGTTGCCCTGTCAGCTGAGAAGCAGTGACACCCCAGAAGCAAGAAGCACACCTAGAGCTCAGATCTTTGTTTCTAATACCATTCACGAGCGAAAGGACTCTGGAGAAATGGCAGACTCAAAGATTTGGGCAGGAAATAAGCAAGATGATTCTTGCAGCATCTTGTAGTGCCATAAAGTAAGAAATTGCTAAAATAAAATAAAAGAAAAACCATTCTTTACACACACACAATAATGGGAATATATCAAAAGGACACAAAGCCAATTGGAAGAGCTTCCACTGGTCAAAGATGGAAGACTTTGAACAACAACCACAAAAAATAAGTAAAGTTATATTGGATTATAACCCAAAGTAGAAAATAAATGTCCATGAGTCCATATTGATATAAATAAAACAAATGAATGGAATATATGAATCTCCTGTGCAGAAGAATTCAAAAGAATTACCGTATATACCTTGCACTCAAGAAGGTAGAGCATGACTCCCTATTCCTAAAATGTGGGCTGCTATGGAAAAGGGAAAAAGCTTGGGTAACTACAATGAGAAACCTGAGAAATCTATCGTATTCATGTATTCAGAGTCAATATCACCAATGATGAACCATGTTGATAGGTATGTACCCAGGATATAGTATTATAAAAATGGCACTTTAATCTCTGTGATCTTCCTCTCCAAAATACATAATCGCAGTCTGATCAAACAAACAAACAAACTAACATCCATCAGATGAATCCCAACTGAGAACAGTCTACAAAATGCCTGACTGGTACTCCTCAAAACTTCAAGGTCATCAAAACCAAGACAAGTCTGAGAAACTGTCACAGCCAAGAGAAGCCTAAAGAGACATGACAACTAAATGTAATTTGGTGTCCCGGAGGGGATCCTGGGAGCAAAAGAGTACATTAGGCAAAAGCTAAGGAAGCCTAAGTAAAGTCTGAATTTTAGTTGATAGTAATGTATCAAAAATGTACCATACTACTGTGTTGATAATAGAGATAACTGGGTGGGGTATAAGGGAACTCTGTGATACCTCTGCAATTTTTCTGTAAATTTAAAACTGTATTAACATAAAAAAATTAAAAATAAATACAATTAAAACTTGCACATCTAATTCAAACGCTTTATTAAATGTGAATGGATATTCTTCTGTTTTCATGTGCTTTGTCCTAATGTAATTGGTAAAGTACAAGAAATTGAAAGAGAACAGAACCCTTAATTACTTACTGAAAGTTATGTCTGGCTGCCTTTTCTATGTCCTCTGTAAAGCAATTAAGAACATTTTAAATTAAAGGTTAGCTCCGAAAGGAACATTGTACATGAAAATAGGGACAAATGTTTACTCCCGTGTTTCCCCACTCCTGCTGTAAAACAATATAGTCACCTAATAAAAAATATTTTTATCTACTATAATCCCAAATGAATATTCTTTAAGTATCTAGTAAATCAATGCAGGCTATGTTTGGGTTATCCTCCTATAGCTGTGGGATTTAAACTGGCAAACTGCATCCTTATGAATGCTAGAAAGAAAATGTTCAAAATACTTAATAATGGTTTATAAAACTGTAGACAAAAATGCTCTTTCTCATTTAATTATAAAAAGAACAGAAATATTCAACATCCATGTAAATATAGTCAGAAGTTTCATTGGCGTTTGCTAGATAGTATAACATACACAAAATTTCTTTAAATGTAAGGTTGATGGTTTTACTATCAAACATATAAGCCAGAGTTCGATATTCTTTTTTCCCAATGCCTATTATTTTGGAATATTTTGAAAGGTAATGCTCTTTGTGTCCAGAAACGTAAAAGTTTGTAATTTAAGGCATTGTATGCAGTTTGACAAATAGATTTTGACAATGGTACTCCATCAGTATTTTACTGAGAATGAAAAATGAACATCAGACCATTTTATTTATTCTCTCTAGAGCCTAGTAACCTATTGCTTTGCTCCAAGGGAAGTCCTAGCTCTTCTAAAGAATATGGTCTTTTTTAACCTCTCAGGGAAACTTTAGTGCCATCTGTCCACTTTTTATTTATGCTTTAATAAAAGCCTTCTAGTCAATCTAAGGCTGGTGGTACTTAGCTAGGGCAAAGCTCAGTGAATAATGGTCCCTTTCAGGACACCCCATTTTGATTTCAACCGAATGGATAATGATGTCTGACATGTGCCCTGCCAGGAGGAATGAAGGTTATGCTCAAGCATCAGCCTGTCCGCGGCCTTCCCGTCAGGGCACAGCTACATCCTCCATCACCTCTGGGGCTCGAAGGAGCGTGGGACCGGGTCCCGGCTACAAAATGACTCTATAGCTGGCCGTTCACTCGCTGCATCATTTGCATAAATCCCTCCACTGATTCTCTCCACTAATTCTCTCACCTAAAAAAAGAGCAACCCCCCACCCCCCAAGAAAATTAGTTTCCTTCCTTCTCAGATTCTAATGGCCTCATGGTGCAAATCTAGGTTTAGGAATCATAAATCGTATGCCATTCTTCCTTGTGATGCATTTGGGAAGGAATTGTGAATACAACTGATGGGAGCTCAGTGATGTGTGCAACCGACAGACAGGCAAGTGCGAATCTCATTAGTGTTAAATTGTTATGTAAAATCATGATAAGAAATGACATGCTTGTTTTTCCTGGCTTGCAGGAAAACAAACAAACAAACAAACAAAAAAACACTAACACAAAAGTCTTAACCTTACACCTTGAGAGGTACTTAACGCAGTCTTGAAAAGACATTGCTTGTAAGTGAAAGATGGAGATTGAACACTTATTACTGATTATTTCTAATGATACTCCCAGGTATGTTTCAAATGTTACCTACTGGTGCTATATTCATAGCCACAATTTCCTAGGCAATCAAGTTGATGATGATTTTACAGAATCTTAGATTCTGTATCTTAGTGAGGAACACAAGACAGATCTGAAAGATGCATCCTACTAATTTACAATTTTTCTTAGAGACTAATTTTAGCTATGTTATATTTATCTACAGTGATGCGCTGCATAATGACCTGTTGGTCAGTGATGGAACACATATGTGGAGGTGGTCCCATGAGATTATAATGGAGGTGAAAAATTTCTATCACCTAATGAGGTCATAGCCATTGTAACATCTAGTGCAATGCACTACTCATGTGTTTGTGGTGATGCTGGTGTAAACAAACCTACATATATAAAAGTACAGTGCACTGTTACGGACAGTACATGATAGCTGATAATGATAGTAAATAAATCTCTTCCTGGTTTATATATTTACCATACTATACTTTTAATCATTATTTTAGAGCGTGATCCTTTTACTTGTATGAAAAAAGTTAACTGTGAAACAGCCTCAGGCAGGTCCTCCAGGAGGTATCTAGAGGAAGGCATTGCTATCACAGAGATGACAGTTCCATGCACGTTATTGTCCCTGAAGACCTTCCAGTGGGACAGGATATGGAGGTGGAAGACAGTGATATTGATGATCCTGACCCTGTGTTGGCCTAGGATAATGTATGTGTTTGTGACTTAGTTTCTTAAGCAAAAAAAGCCAATAGAATAAGGATATTAAAAAAGAAAATATTTTTGTACAACTGTACAATGTGTTTGTGCTTTAAGCTAAGTGTTATTACAAGAGTAAAATGTTAAAGAAAATCAGCAAACTTATAATGTAAAAAAGTTGTAGTCAGCTAAAGTTAATTTATTATTGAAGAAATAAAATTGTTTTTACAAATTTAGTGTAGCCTAAATGTACAGTGTTTATAATCTACAGTAGTGTACAGTACTGTCCTAGACCTTCACATTCACTCACCATTCACACACTGACTCACCTAGAGCAGCGTACCGTCCCGGAAGCTCGATTCATGGCTAAGTGCCCCCTTATATAGATGTACCATTTTTATCTTGTGTGTGTGTGTGTGTGTGTATATATATATATATATATATATATATATATATTTTTTTTTTTTTAAGAGTCTCGATATGTTAGCCAAAGTGGTCTCGACATCCTAGCCTCAAGCAATCCTGTAGCCTCGGCCTCTAAAAGTGGTGGAATTACAGACATGGGACACCATGCCTTGCCTTTACCTTTCCTATATTTAGATATGTTTGGACACAAAAATGCCCCTGTGTTACAATGGCCTACTGTATTCAGTACAGTAACATGCTGTGCAGGTTTGTAGCATAGGGGTAATAGATTATACCATAGCTATAGGCTATAGACCTAGGTGTATAGTATGGCTTTGCCATTTAGGTTTGTGTAAGTGCATTCTATGATGTTTGCACAGTAATCACAAAATCACTAAATGATGCATTTCTGAGACTATATCCCCACCATTGAGTGATGTATGACTTTGTGTGTGTGGGGGTGTGTGTGTGTGTGTAAACATGTATATATCTCACTTGTTAGGAATAAAAATGTTACAAATTTAGATGCTGTAGATAACAATATATCTGATACTGTATGTTACTACAGATGCTGTGGAGATTAGAAAGATAAGAATGTCATGACCAACTTTTTATACCACTAAATACGAAAATAGGTGTAATATACAACTTCCTAGATAAGTATGTTACCAAATCTGACTAATATATGAATGTAATTTACCACATTAAGAAATAAAGAAAGCAAAGTTATATGATCATCTTACAAGTTTCAGAAAAATCACTGGTAACACTCAACAATCATTCAGTATACAAACTTATAGCAAATTAGAAATGGAAAAGAACTTTCAAAACCCGATGAAGGACATCTACAGAAACTTACAGCAATATCATACTCAGTGATAAGATTTTAAAATGAAGAACAAGCTGAGGATAGCCACCATCACTATTTCTGATAGACATTATTCTGAAACTTTTATTTTTTGTCATAAGACAAGAAGAAAGAAATAAAGCCATGAAGATGAGAAGAAAAGAAACACATTGTCTTTATTTGCAGATAGCATGATTATCTACATAGAAAACCCCAAATCTATAAATAAATGATTAGTATAAGAGTGTTTAACAATGTTCTCAGATGAAAGAGCAATATACAGAAGTCAGTTGCATTTTAATTTGTCGGCAATAAACACAATTTTTAAAGCTAACATTTAAAATAGCAACCACAAAAAGTACACATAGGAACACATTTAACAAAAGGTGTGCAAGAAATTAGTTTAGAATATTATATAAAGTCTTGAAAGATATTAAAGAGCTCTTTTATATTTTGAAATATGTCAGACAAACAAGAGTGTATTTAGCATAAATGTCAATATAAAGAATAAAATGGTATACCAACCACCAGCTTGAGAATATCAACAGACTCTTTGAAGTCTCTCCTTGCCCCGGACTGTCCAAAAGTTTGTGTTACTCATTCCTCTGCTTTCCTTTATTCTTTAGTATGTTGCATGTGTCTCTCACTATTTATTTGGTTTTGTCTGTTTTGAATTTATCTAAATAGAATCTTATAATCAGTGACCTTCCATGTCCAGGTATTTTGGAAATGCATCCAGAATGATCGCATAGCTCTAGTATATTCACTTTCTCTAGTAGAGGGTGTCTTACTCTATGAACCTGTAAACTTATTTCTGTCCAGTCAACTCTGAGTAGATATTTGGGGTGTTGTCAGTGTTTCTTCCATTGGAAACAGCTCTGCTATAAAGTTCATTCTGCATAGATTCCTGGTGAACTTGTGTAAGATTTTCTCTAGAATGCATACCTAGAAAGAGAATCACTGGGTTGAAGGGTACATAGACAATTTCACTTTACTAGCTAATGTTTTCCAAAGTTTTACCCTTTTGTAGCTCTATCATCGATGTGTGAGAATTCCTATTTACCCTTGGAAGTACAAACACTGTCAGACTATTGACTTTTTGCCAGTTGGGTTGGTATGTGATAATATCCCATCATGGCTGTAGTTATAATATTTCCTATTGCTGCTGTAACAAATTACCACAGACTTAGTGGCTTAAAGCAGCACGAATGTATAATCCTGTAGTTTCTGGAGAAATCCAAAATCAGTCTCATAGGGTTAAAGGCAGGCCTTGGCAGCGCTGGTCCTTCTGGAGGCTGAGAGGAGAATCTGTCTCACCTTTTTCAGCTTCTAGGTGCCACCTAGATCCCTCGGCTTGTGAACCTTCCAATGATAATCAGTGGATAATCCAAAATCATCTTCCTATATCAAGATCCTAACTTAATCACAGTAGTAAAGTTTCTTTTGTCCTGTAAAGGGATATATTCAAGGTTGTGGGGATTAGAACAAGGACTTCTTGGGAAGGCCATTACTCTGTCAACTGCGGGAGCTTTAACACACATTCTGTGAAATGCCTTCCCAGGACCTCTGCCTTTAGATTTCCACCTTACTCAGCAAAACACATTTTCTCTGCTAAAAGATATCTTTTTTTGCTGGAAGGGCACATTATTTTGATTTGGGCTGTATTTTTATTTTTGTATTAAACAGATATTTTGGATTACTTTTTTCTCTACTAGACATTGTTCGGACTTCGGTCCCTATTTTTCTAGGTCTCAATCTAGTGAAGCTACCAGCCAAGCACTGCCTGTAGCATCCACCACCCCATCTCTGACAGAAGCCAGCCAGCATCCCTAAAACCATATCTACCTGGATTTTCTCAGCTATGTGTGGATTTACCCCTGTGTTCTCTTTATCTTTCCTTGGACATTTATGTTTGAACTGAAAAAGAATTGTCCCCCTCTCCCTTAAACTCCTGCCTTTATAAATAACTGAGTATGAATTTATGTTTTGGATGACTTATCTAGAAGGTAAAGAGCATTGCTCTTCTCTTTGTCCTGAACTTTATTTTTTTTAATCTGTCCAATCATACAGGTTATAAGCAGATTGACTAAAAACTGAAAAATAGGACTCATTAAAGTTAAGAAGTTATGTTCATCAAAAGACACTGTAGGAAAAGAGTAAATAGGTAAGAAAATTGGGTAAAATGTTTGTAATACCTGTACTTCATTTTCACATTTCACATACAGAAAGAATGCTTATAAGCTAATATAAGGCAGGTATTCCAATGAAAAAGTGACCAAATGACATGCACAGAGACTTTATAAGAAAACATATCCCAATGACCTCTGTGCGTATGAAAAGATAGGCACTCAACATCAGTTGTAAACAGGGAAATGAAAATTAGAAGCATGCCCATCCACCAGAAAAATAAGAATCTTAGAAATGGACAACATCAAGCATTAGCAAGGATGGTGAACTATTGAAATTTCCATTCATTGCTAGTGGGAGTGTAAAGTGGCACAGCTATTTTGAGAAACTCTCATTGCCTACTAAAGTGTAACATAAACCTATCCTATGACCCAGCAATTCTAATGAGTTAAATATCAAATAGAAACGAGTACATTTGTCCACAAAAGAACAAGAAAAAGAGTATTTGTGTATTATTTTTGACAGGCCCAAATGGAAATGATCCAAATATCCATCAAAAGTAGAAAGGAGAAATAAAATTGTGGTACATTCTTTAAATGGAATGTTATACAACAATGAAAAGAAATGAACTGTAACTACAGAAATAACATGAATGAATTTCATAGACAATGGTAAGTGAAAGAAACTAGACACTAAAAAGTACATGCTGTATCATTTTAATTATGTAAATTTTAAGGTTAGACAAAATTGACTTATGAAGATAGAAGTCAGATAATAGTGGCTAAAAACAGTAATTTTTAAATGGTAAAAAAATAGTTAAAAATAGTTTTTTGGAGGGAAGCTTCAGTGCAGAGACTGTCCCACATTTTGATTTGTGTGGTACATATGTATGCGTGTGTGTACATACATATGTGCTATCCATATATACACACGTATATGCCCACATGCATATATACATATATATGTATAGACACAACACACATATGTACTTATGTATACATGCACACATATGTATATATACACGTGCATGCTTACAGATGCATGTATCTGTTCATTGAGCTGGTTACTTAAGATTTGTGCACTTTACTGCAGCTATATATGCCCTCCAAAAAGCAACAGTAGGTTCTTAAGGCAGAACTTTTGGGAAGTGGTTTTAAAGATGTTCATAAATTCTTTACTACCCTTCCCTTCAAAAAGTGTATCCCAAATCTCTGCTCCTTGAGTGCAAGCTGCACTTGGAGACTGGCTTTTAATGAATAGAATATGGCAGAAATGAAGTTGTGTCCCTTCTGAGACTAGGCCAGAGGGGTACATGCCGGAGCGTTCTCTTTGCTCACTCTCTTGGATCGCTTAATCTCGGGGAAGCTAGCTGCTACCTTGTGAGGACACACAGTCAGTGCTTTGCAGAGACCCTGTGGCCAGGGTTGGGTCTTCTGCCAACAGCCTCAGATGTAATCTGAGGCTCCCTGTCGATAGCCTGTGACTGCACCATCTTGGAAGTGGGTCTTCCCACCCCAATCTAGCCTTGGACAGCTGTACCCCTGCCTGACATCCTGACTACAACCTCATGAGAGACTCCCAGTCAGGTCCACTCAGCTACAACACTCTGAAATTTCTAGCTCCCAGAAATTGTGAAATAATACAATTTTGTTGTATTAAGCTATGTTTTAGGGTAATTCATTATGTCACAGCAGATGACTAGTGCATTTCTCCACTTATGAATCAGAAGATTTGGGCAGGAAACTGTGCTTTAGTTTCCTCTTCTGTACTACGGGGAATAGAACTTACCAGAAGTTCACCATGTAAATATGACCCTACTGGAAAAACACTGATAGGATTTTTCATTATTCCATTCACCAGGAATTCCTTATTACTAAGTTTCCTTTGGAAGAAAACATAATTGTTTGCTCAATTTTATATCTGTCTCCATAATTTGTTAAACATGACTATGATTTAATCACCTTTTCATTTCAGATTCTAAGGTCATAACTTTTATCTGGAAAACAAATAAACCAAAATCTGGTGTTAAAATCTCAGGCAATAGTGATCTTCAAGTGGGAGGAGGGGAGGATTTTATTCAGACCAGAAGTTGTCTATGAAATATTAACTCATTCTTGTTTAAAGATAAAATCTTTATGAGTAGAGTTAAAATGTATTATTGTTCCCCAAAACGTTTAACTCTGTTGGTCTTCTGAAGCATATCCACTAAGTTTTGGTGGCCTTTCCTTATTCTACCTTCCCTAGAGGTGAATGCTTTGCTATACATTGCAAAAAGTAAGTGGAGAGCTACTTTAATAAAGATTTATTCCAAAAAATTCAGTCATAATTTCTAACAACAGCAAAATGAGACATAAGTCTCTTACATTAGTAGAATTTGGATAAAACATAAATGGGAAAGGCAAGACACGGTTTGATAAAATTAATTTCAGATGATTTAGCCTATTAAATTGAATAAGTCCTCTTACATTAAATAAAGAAAACATGGAAACAGTTCAAAAGAAGAAAACACAGTCTCCCCAGAACATGCCAATATAAATGGTGTATTTAAATTATATTTCAATATTTTAATGTTCTTACAGCTAGATTATGTTTGTTAACACTTTGTTCATTAAGTTCTATAGATATTTGAAGTTCTTACATCCACCAAAAGCTATGTAATATTTTTAAGTTAAAACTTTTTTTCATATACTTTTTTAAGTAAAAACAGATTATATTCTTGGAGTATAAAATTGTTGGTCAGGCATGGTGGCTCACGCCTGTAATTCCAGTACTTTGGAAGGCTGAGATGATAGGATCACTTAAGGCCAGGAATTCAAGATCAGCCTGGGCAACATAAGAAGACCCTGTCTGCACCAAAAAAAAAAAAAAAAAAAAAAAAAGCTAGGTGTGGTGGCATGCATCTGTGGTCTCAGCTACTTTGGAGGCTTAGGTGGGAGGATCACTTGGGCTCAGGAGGTGGCGGCCGCAGTGAACTGTGACTGTGCCACTGTACTCTAGTCTGGGGGACAGAGTGAGACCCTATCTCAAAAAAAAAATAAAAAATAAAAAAACCTTGTTAACACTATATGATCCGAGAATTCTGGCTAATGCAGATGTATTCATTTTCCATTTCCTCTTCTATGTGTGCCTGAACTCAAGTTTGAAGTACAAGCCATTAAAAAGCAGGTCAACGTCCATGAGGTATGAGAACAGCTTTGATTACAGTTATTTTTGTGAAAGATGAAGATGATTTATCTTATGCTGATTATAGGTTTACCTTCCTCTCAGTGCGAGCTTTAAAATTATCCCCAACTTTATCAGTTGTGTTAAATGAAATCATGTTTGCCTTTATTCTTCTTGATAAAAATTGACTGATGAAGAGTAAGTTTTTTAAAGGGCTGTAATGGAAAGAGAATGCACATTGAAGTTAGGCCCTGGGTTAAAATCTGCTTTTGCTGCTTGCTGAGATACCCCAGATAAGGGACTCATTCTGTGAGCATCAATTTCCCCAACTGCAGAACAGGGCTAATGAGAGTCATTTCTTTGGATACTGAGGATTACAAACAAAACAATGTTTGCAAAGTTAATAGTGCAGTGTTGGACGAATAGAAAGTGCTTGGTAACCAGCTTTATTATTCTTTTCTCATTTATTAATTTTCATTAATATTTTAAAATAGTTTTACAATTGTTGCTGGTACTATTTCTTATTACTACTAGTATTTCTTTGATATCAGTTTCCAAAAGAGCATATGCTAGTGATTATTTATGTATTGAAAATGATTTTTATGTAGATTGACTTTTCCTCAAGAAATGCTTTTTATTTACATTTGTGGACAAAAGAAATGCATTCATAAATATCACTGTGGGAGTGAAACCCAACTCTAGGTTGCCCCTAACCTCAACACATGTATACTTTTTTAGTTGGCTAAGGTTGTCATAACAAAGTACCACAGGTTGGGTGGCTTAAACAACAGATATTTATTTTCTTAAAATTTTGAGACTGGAAGTCGGAAATGAAGACATCAACAGGGTTGACTCCTTCTGAGGTCTCTGTTTTTGGCTTGTAGATGGCCATCTTCTTCCTGTGTCTTCACACTGTCTTCCTTCTGTGTGTGTATCTGTCTGTGTCCTAATCTCCTCTTCCTAGAAATTGCATTGGATTAGGGCCTAGTCTAATGATCTCCTTTTACTTCAGTTAGATCAAATCTCAAAATACAGCCACATTCTGAGCTACTGAAGTATAGGATTTCAACAAATGAATTTTGGGGGGACCCAGTTTAGCCCATAATGACTTCCAAGGATTGAGTGTTTATGAACATTGGGAAAACTCATGACAGTAGCCCAAATGGGCCATTAAGAAAGGAGGTTTGGTCATGCCTATAATCTGAGCACTTTAGGAGGCTGAGGCGGGCAGATCATGAGTTTTGAGATTCAGGAGATTGAGACCAAACACGGTGAAACCCCATCTCTACTGAAAATACAATAAATTAGCCGGGCGTGGTGGCAGGCGCCTGTAGTCCCAGCTACTCGGGAGGCCGAGGCAGGAGAATGGCATGAAGCTGGGAGGCAGAGCTTGCAGTGAGCTGAAAGCACACCACTGAACTCCAGCCTGGGTGACAGAGCACCACTCTGTCTCAAAAAAAAAAAAAAATTAGGAGGTTTGGTTTCAGGTACAGTTTTGTTTACTGGTGAGGGTGGCAGATGGAGGGTAGTTTAAGGGGATGAAGAGGAGGTTTGCCAGGCTGGATTTGGCTGCAGAAGCTAATCAAAAAGGGTTTGCCGGACTGTTTGGGGCAGTCTTGTTTAAGTGACTTCTTTATTTAAATAGTGCAGGAGAATTTTGTAATTCATTTTGATGTTGAATTCTGTATCATTTAGCTGATAGTGTGTAATAAGCCAGCCTAAAATTAGCAGCTTAAAGTAATAACTTTTTTCCCTGTGATTTCACTTTGTGTTCTTTCTGGTTTGGGCTGACTTAGACGATCTTTGTTGGACTCTGTGGTCAGCTGGCGTCTGGATGTTCTAAAGTGGCCTCACTCTCTTGCCTGATGGCTGGCAGGCTGATGGGTTGAGTATCTTGGCTTTTTCCAATGTGACCTTTCATCCTCCAGCAGGGAGCTCAGGCTCATTGGAGTGCTAGTTACAATATTTCAGCTGCAACAAGAGAGCAAGCCTCAGCCCACAGGTACTTTTCAGGCTTAGTTGGTGTCACATTTACAAAGCTTCATTATCCAAAACAAATTTCGTGACAACATAAATGAATTGATTTTTTTTTTTTAGACGGAGGGAGTCTTGTGCTGTCGCCCAGGCTGGAGTGCAGTGGCGCGATCTCGGCTCACTGCAAGCTCCGCCTCCTGAGTTCACGCCATTCACCTGCCTCAGCCTCCCAAGTAGCTGGGATTACAGGCGCCGGAAATTGGTAATCATTTTTAAAGAAAAATACAACTTACCAAAATTGATTTGGTAGAGCCAGTGCCTACCCTTTTCGGCACCAGGGACCAATTTCATGGAAGACAATCTTTCCACAGACTGGGAGTAAGGGGGTTGGAATGGTTTGGGAATGAAACTGTTCCACCTCAGATCATCAGGCATAAGATTCTCATAAGGAGCGCACAACCTAGATCCCTCATGTGCGCAGTTCACAGTAGGGTTTGTGCTCCTATGAGAATCTAATGCTGCAGCTGATCTGACAGAGGGTGGAGTTCAGGTGGTAATGCTTGCTTGCTGCTCACCTCCTGCTGTGTGGCCTGGTTCCTAACAGGCCATGGACAGGTACCCGTCCAAGGCCTGGAGGTCGGGAACCCCTGGTATAAACAAACTATAGTTGAACCTTGAACAACACAGAGGTTAGGGGCACCAACCTTTCTGTGAAGTCCAAAATTCGTGTATAACTTTTGACTCTCCCAAGACTTAACTACTATTGACTGGAAGTCTTACTGATAACATAAACAGTCAATTAACACATGTGTCAATTAACACATCAGTTGTATGTTGTATGTATAATATATCACGTTCTTACAATCAAGTAAGCTAGAGAAAATAAAATTTTATCAAGAAAATTATAAGGAAGAGAAAATACTCTATATGTACTATTCATTAAGTGGAAGTGAATTATCATAAAGATCTTTTTCCTTGTCATCTTCATGTTGAGCAGGCTGAGAAGGAGGAAGAAGAGGAGGGGTTGGTCTTACTGTCTCAGGGGTGACAGAGGTGGAAGAAAATTTGCATATAAGTAGACCCGTGAAGTTCAAGCCCTGTTACTCAAGAGTTAACTGTAATTACCCTAGAACAAACAAAGAAATTATTTAAAGAGCCCCTTGCCCCCAGATTCACCATTATGTGTTTGTAGAGTATATGTATTAAACTGTTAAAACAAGATAAACTCAATTCTATTCAAACTGGAGTATTAAAAAATATGGGAAATTTCTAAATGCTTTCTGTAAAGTGAATATAATTGTGCTCCTTAGCATAAAAAAGATTCCAACATAAAAGAAAACACAGACCAACTTCACTTATTAGTATTGACATAAAATCTTAAATAAGACATCAGCAGATGTGATCCAACAACATGTGGAAAATTAAGAAACTGTCACCAAGAAAGATTTATTCCAGAAATGCATGGGTAGATCAATAGTGGGCAGTTCATTTGTGTGATCCATTGTATTATTAGAGTTCAAGAGATAAATAATATGGATTTCTTCATAGATACAGAAAATGCACTTGGCAGAAGTCAACACCCATTCATGTGAAAAAGACTAAATGAAGTAGAAATTAACGAATACTTCCTTAACTTATAATATGCATGGTGTGTGTGGGTGTGGGATATGTGTGTATTTCCTCCTCAAAGTCTTCATCCTACTTAATCGAGAAATGTTAGAGGCTTTCTTGTTAAACTCAGGAGAATGATAAGGATGCTTACTATTCTTTCTTTTATTTTAAATTATGTTAGAAGAATTACTCAGTGCAATTAGATAAAAATAGAGCAAGTAGCGGCATAATAATTGGAAAGGAAAAGGTAGAACTGTCTCTACTTGCAGATGATGTGATTATATATTTGGAAAACCTCAAAGAGTAAAATGAATAGTGACTTTAAATCATAAGGTAATTTAGTAAGAAAATTTTGTAAAGTAGCAGGTTACAAAAAGCCTCATATATTCATATAGTCAGACACAAATCAGCTAGAAAATATAATGGAATAGAAAACTTTGTTTAAGACAGCCACACAGAAAATGTACCATGGCATTTACTTAATGAGTAATTTCAAAATTCTCTATGTGGAAAATTATAAAACCCATCTGAAAGGCACAAAATTAGAATTGAATAAATGGAAGGAGGAGTTTATGAATAGAAAGGTTCAACATCATGAATATATCAGTTATTCATAAAATGATTTATATATCTAATATACATTGTATAAAATACATTCAGGTATTTTGCTGGCTTTAATTTGTAAAAAAATAAGCATGAATAGCTGGAAAATCCTGTGGGAAAGCAAGGAGTTGGGCTTTTCCCTACTAAATATTAAAAGATAATATGAAGCCTCTGTTATTAAAGTTTGGTACTGGTTCATACAGACTGAGCAATGGAAAAAAATAGACACCTTTGTCACAAATTTAAGTGCATTAATGACATTTAGCAGCCCAACAAAGGCAGCATCTCAAACAAGGGCGTAATAGATGGAATTTTACAATGTGGCATTGGGATTGCTGAAAGACTATGCTATTAACAAAACAAGTATATTTCTCATACTGAACTCTGGATAAATTGCAAAATTCAGAAGCAGTAAAAGAAAAGATTGATAAATTTAATTACATAAAATATCACTATTGAGTGGCAAATACCCCTTAGTTAAAACAAAACAACAATAGAAACATAAGCAAAGTAAAAGAAAAATGACACACTTGAAAAATGTTTGCAGTATATTCACAAAATATGAATGCCTCTCAAATGTAACAGCTTCTAGAAATAGAGGGGAAAAGGCCAACCACTATGATGAAAAAAAATAGGCTAAAGATACGAACAGGCAATTCAGGGAAAATAAGATATAAATGGCTCGCAGCCATATGAAAAGCATTGCTTATAACAGGGAAAATGCAAATTAAAGCTGCTAGAGGATATGTTTTCTCACTTATTAGGTTGGTTGCAGAACTCCAAAAGATTAAGATAATCTGTTGGTAGATCATCTGGAAACATGCAACCTCATTCTTTTCTGGTGGATTGCAAAATTATACAATAGTCATGAAGGAGAATTTGGCAATATCTTGCAATATCTTAGCAACAATTTGCTAATTATAAAGGCATTTACCTTTTGACCCAATAGGGGTCTAACTGAATAAAAAA